GTATAAGAGACAGGTGTGAGGCTCACGCCAGATGCGTGAGACTTGGTATGTATGCGCTTGTCTGGGCCTACTCTTAAAATGTTCTCCTCTGTTAATGCAATGGTTTTCGGTTCATGGTTCAATTCAAGGTCCATTACCAAGTTTAAGATGTGCAGCAATGTCTTCTTGACTCAAAACAGTAAAAATAAGATTCCAAAAAAGTAGGAGGTTCTGGGCCGGACCAATAATAAACTGGTTCTTACGGGCTTGATATAATCTTTTTCCAAGATGCATTGATAAGGCTATCTCGTAGCAATAGCAGGTACTGGGAGCAGTTGGAGCAGTAAAAATTCCTACATTATTTTACTGTCTGAATTTTTCAGTGGATTATATTACGCCACATGCTATTCCACCAAACTGGTGTTAGTTACGCCAGCTGTTGCTACCAGATTAGTTAATGAGTTAATGCAAGTCAAGAACACTGATTTTCAACCTCAAGTATGATTTCTGACTAATCACCAGTTGTAAACAAAATCCTTTGAAATAAAACATATATACCAGTCAATTGTGATTAATTGACATTTATTTTATCGCCAACTCCATTCCCTGATCCTCATAATAAGAATTAGTTCAAAAGAATATTTTGTCAATATTTTTGTCTAATTTACAATCTGCTGCCCCATTTGCAGGGTGGATTTAGAGGGAAGGGTGGCCCGGCCCTTTGGGAGGTAAAAAAAAAAAAGGAGAAAAAAATAAAGAAAAATAAAAAAATGATAGCCCAGAACACCTCAAATGTTATTTTCGGGCATCTAGAACACAAAAATTTTGCGGAGGAATTCCCTGGACCCCCTAGGATAGTGTTGTCTCGATCGGCTCAACTTTTTTCCCCCTTTCGCCCCCCCTTTTTGGACATCTCTGGCCCCGCCCCTGATTTACTATGATGTTAGAAACAAGCTTTTTTTCCCCAACAATGTTATGAAAACTTCCAATACATGTCTAGGGTCGAAAAATTTATTTTTATTATGGGTTTATTAGAGGATCGAATGTCATTAAGCTGTCATGGAACTTGTAATGCCTGCATTTAAAAGGCATACTTTTGAGGCTACGACCAGAAGATGGTGACTGAAAATTTTGTATTCTTCACATGTGAATCTTTCCCTTTATAACATTATTCACATCTGTTTTCTCTCTTTTCTGCTTTTATATTTACATTGTCTTCTGTATTTTGACCATTTTTATCTATTTGTTGGAGGTGACTGTCAAATAAACTGAATTGTGTGTATTAGGGATTGCCACCTATTAGTAAGACTGTGATATATTTGCTACTGGTAATCACTGGCCTGTGTACCTATAAATAAATAAATAATTAACAAGATTTCTAAGAGAAGAACATGCTTTGTATCACATTTTTTTCTGCGACTCCCTCATCCTGAATTTTGATATTTATTCTTTTAATTTTGGGGATTTTTTTTGTGATCTTTGCTGAAATGAACCAATAAAAAATTAAAAAAATTATTAGCCCTGCTTGTTCCTTATCAGCCGTCAGAGAATATCTATTTTCATTTGATCACGGTAAATTGCAATATACAAATCCCTGTAGTAAGCTCTTTCCATACAACTGAAGTACTGGTCTCCCAAGAGGTCCAAATTTGTTAAAACATTGTATAAATTAAAATACAACTTAAAATGAAAGAAATGATGAGCTGAAAAACAATTAAAGTGAAGGAACCGTGGAGTTGTCTATGGCAATTCACTTTAATATACCCGACTGAAACCAAGCAAACAAGCAAGCACAAATTCATGAACTTTCTACAATAAGGCAAGACTTCCATTTCACCTTCCTTAGCAAATTTAGTTTAGACCATTCGGGAGTGGAAAAAAATTATATTTTGGCATTTTATATAGCAAATGGTTTTGCCCAAAAATTCTAGGAGAAAACAAAAATATATTTTACTTATGAATGTAAACAGTGTTGTAATGGGGTTGAAAATGCTTTAAATTTATATAAATTAGAAAGAAAATATAGATGTCTTATTTTGGGGGATTTTAAGGCAGCAGGGGCACAATAAAAAAATTTTTGGGGGGGGGGGGCTGGCACCAACTGGTCAAAAATAAAATTTAATTTTTATTCAAAATTATCAGTGGGTACAAGGTATAAAAATACTTGTCTAAAGTAAAGCAGATGGTAATAGTGAAGCTACTAAAACATAAGGAATCATGATAGTAAGCATGCTGGTTTGTGCACTGGAAAGAATAAAGTGCTTAATTTTGTGCCACTGATCAACATAACAAGTTTTTAAATTACTATGCTTGTTATGTTAAAACATAATGTCCAAGGAAATACTTTGAACATTCAATAAAAGCAGTAATATGTGATATTATAGTAATAATATTATTATCAATATCATTACTATAGTAATAGTTTTTTCCTGTTGCTTAAGTGGTTCATTGTGTCAATAATTTATTTATTTTGTGCAGGTTGAGTGGTTTTTCACTATTCTGGAGCTCTTCAATTTTGGAAACAGTGGTGAAATTTCATAACTGTAGGTGGCAGTATAAGGATAACCTTCCAATTTGAGTCTACAAGGAATCTAATGTGGTAAGCAATTGATATTGAAAAAGGATAATAAAAACGGTCATGTCTCAGTAGCATATCTAGGGGTATTGACATGAGAGTCGTAATGGGGGAGGGCCACGAAGGGTAAGTGGGGGTCTCGATGATTAAGGAGCATTAGCTGGCAAAATAAGGTGTTATGAGCCCATGAGGTGATTTTTTATCTGCACATAATTTTTCAAATATCCAGTGTGCTGCTAATATTACAGGGTTGTAGCCACAAGAATTGAAGTGGTCGGGTTGCGAGCAAAACAAACACTGATGGGAGAGGGGCCACCAAGAACCCCCGGTTGGGGTTGAGGGGGCCGGTAAAAATTGTACGAATGTGGCTTGGTTGGTTACTACTTTCTTCAGTCGATGTAAGTTGACTGTGACTGAGTGGAGTAGTAACCAACCAAGCCACATTCATACTGATGATGCTGACTGGTAGTCAGTGAAACTGTTTACAGTTAACAAAAAATAAGCAATTTAGGTTTTATGTAAAAGGAATTTCAAATCAAAGAGAAAGATTGTTGTTCACAGCATTGTTGTTATTTAGTATTTTGCCTTTGGACCTATGAATGAAATTCTATGGTATATTTTCAATCAATTAAAAAAGCATATTTACATTACATATTTATTTATAGAAAATACTGTTGCATACTAGAACTATCAGGAATAAATATACAGATAAGGGCATGGTTTTTTTTCTTGTCAGATTAGGCAATTTAGTAAAGAAATGAATATAAGTCTATAGGCAAATGCATTAGGAACCGTTAGTCTGATGACTTTTTGCAAAAGCTCATTGTGTGTAGTTTGACCTACTTGATTTGGATAAAAACAAAGCCCACACTGAATTTCAAGAAAAAACTTTCAATAACAGTTCACCCCAGAGTTCACAAACTGTGGTTCCTGAGTTATGGCAAAATGGAGTAGGTTGGGTCCAAACATACAGGTGGAATTTAGCCTTTTTTCCTATTCAAAACCTAATCAATTAAATTGTGGTCTGTAAAAAAAGTTGTCAGGTTGAAACTAGTTGACCATTTGTACCAGTGGCTACTTCCCTGTTATTATTATTTATTTATTCACATCATTTCATGTCCTTACAATAGGGAATTGTTTACTACTCTTGTGAAGAAACCTGGCTTATGTTGTGAGAAATATTGTTTTGGCACATGTAATGAAAATTAAGTGATAAATTAAAGTAACAGTTGCATAAACATTTGGGTAAATGAATGTATGAATGAAATGAATTAATGTTATCACTACCATGGAGGAATAAAACTAATAGATCTATTTTATTGCTTCATGCCAGTACAAAGTTACTTTTGCTGACCATCATCCACAATTGCAATTTTTTTTCTACTTTTTTCAATATTAAATTATGTTAATGATGTGGTAATGTAGTAATACTTTTTGAATATTATAAATACTATTTTACATAGCTCTGAACTGAAGTAGAAAAATTCCTTATTCAACACACTAAAGCACCTTTGACCCTTTACAATCTTCTTGACCATATCAAAAATACCTCATTATCAATAGGCCTTCTAATGAAAGATGAAAAAATGATTGTGTTAAGATAATACAGTAGACCAGTAGCTGATGCAGACAGAAGCGAGCTATGCCTTGCCATATATGGGCACAAGCATTGGCAGTGGCTCAAGTTTACTTTCTGGCATCTCAGGTCTGTAATACAACTCAGCCATCCAAGCCACTGGTATTAATTATAACATAATCCATGCAATTAAATGCAAGCAGGTAAAGCAACCATTGCAAATTACATAGCCCAAATGCTACTAGGCTTACCACTGAGACAAAGTTTCTTGTGTTTGTCCTGCTGTATGTCAGAGGATTGTTTTCTTCTTGAATGTCACTGTAACATGAACCTGAATTATTGAATGTGTTCTAAATGGTATTTTTATCTTTTAACAAGTTTAGAAAGGCCTGTTAGTATTAGTCCAGCTAAATCCTTCATCAACTTCATCAATATCTTATTGTGATTTTATTAACCCCAAACCCTGGATAATTTTGAAGAAATTACTTAGGTTTTCGACTATGCTACAACCTTGTTCACAATCAATACTATTTATTTTTTTTATTAATTTTATTTTATTTTATTCCTTTAGGCACATGGCCATGGATTACCAATTGCAACTTAATCACTGTCCTATTGGACAGGTGACAATCCCTTCACATGACAAACATAAACACATGATGCTTTACATAAACCATGTCTCATAATATGAGACTTAGGGAGTGGAGTTGTATTGGTTGTGAAAAAATTCTTGTTACTGTGACAGGAAGAATAGAACCCCGGACCCTGGGATTGGAAAGTAAGCATCTTAACCACCAAGCTATTCAACTCCATTTTTGTAAAAGAACAGGACAAATTGGCAGCTAATATCCGAATATTGATTTCATTGCTAAAATAAAGAGCATGCAATACATTTTAATTTCATTCTAACAATTACATTTAAACTATCAATTTAAATTAAAATATATTCTAATTTGGTATATGGCCCTAAAAAGGTATAAAGATTTTAATTAATCCAGAATGTCACAGATATTATCCAACATTTCATGAGGGCATATATGCGTAGAAGTGTATCTGGCTCTTTCTCTCATACAACTGACATTTATGTGGAGCTATGGTAAAGCTAGAATCTAGCTTGTAGGTTGCAGCAAAGAGTATAGAAACTAAAGTGAGCAAAGTCCTGTTTCTAAATGAAGTCACTCCCCCAGTAACGATGGAAGTCGCTATCGTTGTCATGAAGTGAGCCTTGCTGCGTTCAGGTATTTACGCTCACAACTAGTACTGTGCTCTCTTTTGGTTTCTATATTCTTTGGTTGCAGCTATGAAATCATATTAAGTAATATTCAAATTAAGGCATCTTCATAGACAGCAGAATGTCCCGGGTTCGAATCCTGGTTGGGGAAAAATTTTGTTCACACTCGCAGATTCCTCTTCTTTAACATTAAAAATGTATATATAACTATAGCATTACTGCAAAATGGTTTAGAACTCTTATATGCACATATGAACTAAAAAGGTGAAAAATGGATGAATATTTTAGTATTATCTAATGTGTGCCGCTGATGCAAAAGTGCTATGCTATAAGCAACCATGAACAGAGATATGCACTCCAACTGCTTCAACTCAAAAGTTCAGACCATTCCATTTGTGAATGCATTACTGACCTTCCCATGCATACATGATACACCCAAGAAAATTTTCTGAACAAAACCTCAGAAAAAAGTACAGCATCAATGCTAATGGAAGATAAAAATGTCCTTTAGGTGATGTAAACACTGGTACTTAAAAGGCTATATAGTGTGGTTACCCAGTTCCCTAAACATAAAAAATCTGAGCTTTTTGACAGCAAGATAGAGAAAATTAAAATTCATTTTTGAGCTTTTTTTTCTTTTCTAACCATATTTATAGAGGGTGACTCTTGAAATCGGCTTCAAAAAGTTCAAAAATTCTTACTTTTCTGAACTTTCCCTTAGGTTTCACCATTCCCTGGGTGTGTGTGTATGGGTGTGTGATTCATCACTCACTCAACTCAATTATACCAATAAGAGGTATTATGTTTATATTTTTACTTCTTTTTATTTAATTGAAATTATTTTTGATAAAACAACCCTTGGTTTCCACATGATACAATGCCAAAATAAATAATTGAGCTGTTTCAATGATAATAGGTGGAAGTTCGTTTATTAATGAACAATAAAAAAAATATGTACTATTATTGAACTTACTTTAAGTAAATAGAATTAAATAAGTAGTTTTGAATTTGGTGTAATGTAAATGTAACCTTTCGTCAATAACCGGTTCTGCAACCTTTTTAGCCCACAACCAATATTAAATGTCAAGCACTCAGATGCAATCAATTGGACCCAATGGCCATGATTATCACCTGAATTTCATGGTAAAATGATTGAATATGGTACACGTCCACTGTTTTATGTGTGAGGGATAGCGGAGATCAAAAGAACTTGCTTCTTTGTCAACCAATTAAAAGATACTACTTAATTCTTAAAAGATCCTTCATATCAGCCACAAAATAAATTTAAATACCCTGAAAATGAAATTAATATAACTTTGAATTGCTTAAATAACAGAGCCACATAAGTTATCAAATCTTTCAATAAGTTACAGATAAAAAAAAACCAATGATTTACGGACGTAAGTTTTTCCGCAACCCAAACATTGGGTTGCGACCCACAAGTTGCAGAACAGTAGTCTATACTCTCTAAATGGCCGAAATTTATTGTACAGTACATCACACAAATGCCATCAAACTCAAATTGCTATTTCCAACCTAACTCGAAAAACAATCCATATTATATAAAAATATATGTAAATACACTTCAATGCGAAAGGATTTAAAATTAATTTAGATGTATGCAATGTGGGCTTGGCTTCATATTTATCTGCATTGATGGCCCTTCACCGTAAATGCTTAAATAAGCGCTGCTCACAAATAAGAGCTGCACCAATCCTGATTTTTTAAAACTAAGTGCCACTCTCAAATAAGCGCCACTGTGCTTAATCGAGAGTATATGATACCATGTGTGTAATGAAACACTTTGAGAAATGGTTTTATATACAATGTATACAGTGTTAAAATGAATAAATAAAACAATGAAGACACAAGCATTTCTTTATAATACGTGAGATACTGTAGGTAACATGGAAAGTGCCACGCCAATATTTTTTTATAAACGCACCTCTCGAATAGTTGTTGCTTTCGAATAAGCACCGTCAACTGAAGCCTCCAAAAATGTCATAAGCGCTTCGGCGCTTAATCGAGCATTTACAGTAATTGCAAATAGATAGGTCCATATTCTCAAAACTTTGTCCCCTCAGCCCCAACCATAGAGGGGCTGAAGTGGTGTGGACTCTCATGCACCCCCCTACTGCCAAATACTGCATCCGTCCCAGTTCGTGTTGGGATTTGATATTTGATGATATAATTAATGTTGAAATATTGAATCCCACCATGATGGCGTGTATTTCAATACCTGGACAAGGGTAGTGTTGCCTCCTTTTGTATGTTTTTTAAAATTGTTGGTGAAATAAATGAAATGAAATTAAAAGGAGCTGTTTCAACAATCAGGGGTAAGCCTCTGGAGTTTTCTGGATACAAAGGTGACCCAGACCTACCCAATTGGGCCCTGACAGCTGTGTTTTTGCCAGGGGCTCATGTCCTTGCTTTCTGCTATACCACTATAACCAGGAGGATTTCTTTATACCACTTTAAGAAAAAAATTGTTTTATCAATTATTTATGAATTATTGGATACCTTTCAGCAAAAGCTGCATCCTCAATAACAAAATCTGAGTATATAAACAAATTGTTGTTCCATATGCACTATGCATTACCTAATAGAGTAATCTATAACACAGATATTAATATGCGCATGTACATCAAATAAAGCTGTTTTAGTTGTGAGGAAAATGTTAGCATTTACTTGATTAAACCCATGATCTGATGATGATGAAGGTAGAGTAACATGACTATACCAAGCCACTATTTGCTTATATTCTATTTACATATTTTGTTACAATATTATCCAGTTTTATTTTAGGGACAGACTACTACCAAGTGAGTGCCTCAAACACAAGTGGTTTAACATTGAAGAATCAGCAGAGGTAGAGCTTATGCATGGAGTATTTATTAATATTTATGCAACAGGGAGTAATGGTAAGTCACTTAATGATATTAATAATAGTTTACAATGTTTTAAACTTTAATAATAATAATAATAATAATAATAATAATAATAATAATAATAATAATAATAATAGTGAAATAGAATAAATAATGAAATGAAATGATGCTGAACATCTCTCAAGTAATATTAAATCTGTGCGTGTTTGGTTAGAGCTAGGATATTTTATTTTAGGATTTTTATTTTATGGTTTTTTCTTCATCTCATCAGTTGCTTTTCAAGCCCAGTATGCTTGAAATTAAGGAACAGTGGCTGTCTCTTATACACATCTAGATGTGTATAAGAGACAGCAATTATACCAATAAGAGGTATTATGTTTATATTTTTACTTCTTTTTATTTAATTGAAATTATTTTTGATAAAACAACCCTTGGTTTCCACATGATACAATGCCAAAATAAATAATTGAGCTGTTTCAATGATAATAGGTGGAAGTTCGTTTATTAATGAACAATAAAAAAAATATGTACTATTATTGAACTTACTTTAAGTAAATAGAATTAAATAAGTAGTTTTGAATTTGGTGTAATATAAATGCTGTCTCTTATACACATCTAGATGTGTATAAGAGACAGGGACAAATTGGCAGCTAATAAATAATAATAATAATAATAATAATAATAGTGAAATAGAATAAATAATGAAATGAAATGATGCTGAACATCTCTCAAGTAATATTAAATCTGTGCATGTTTGGTTAGAGCTAGGATATTTTATTTTAGGATTTTTATTTTATGGTTTTTTCTTCATCTCATCAGTTGCTTTTCAAGCCCAGTATGCTTGAAAAGGAACAAGTGGGGATTTTTTTTATTATAGGGATCCCAGCCATTTGAGAGAGAGAGGAGAGAACTTGATTTTAGATTATCAAGATTTTGGGTTGGTTGGGCTTATGCAATACAAAACCTCTTTTTTTTTTTGCCTTATTGCTATACAGCTAAAATGATTATATTAATATAGTTATATACTGTAGCTTGGGGTGATGCTATGACTTTCCTACATAAATTACTTTTCTAGGCTTTATTATACTATTGACATGTCTGAGTTAATGCCTGCAGTGATTTCTTAACTGAGAACAATTTGTTAGCATTTGCCTATCATAGTTTAATAGTCTAACAACTGACCCATATGAAGTAACGGGTTAACATAAATTAAAGGAGTACTTTGACTTATAATTCTGTTAAGAAACAATATCCAATCATGAGGAAACTTCCCCATTTACCAAATTGTCTATTTTTGAACCAGGTTGTGCAGATCTCTTCTTATCTCTATTAATTACTGCTTCAGGGGATTATGTAACAAGATTAACAGTGAAGCTAATTAGTTGTGAATAGATTAATAGAAACAATAGCACAATTAAATCAAAAACTGTGTTGTAACATAAGTCATTGATTTTTAAAAGTCAAAAACATATCCATTATGATTTTTATTTTAAATTACAACTAAGGTAATAAAAATGCATAACATTATGAACAACAGTTTTTAAATTTTCCAGCTTGGATTTTAAATACTTTATTTACTTTGTGAACATACGTCTTTAGATCGGCAGCACTCAAGGGTGGTGCGTTCAACTTAAATACAATACAATGAATCACTTAATTACTGTACAATTAATGCTAATAAAACATAATTGACACAAACTTAAAAATAACTAAAATGAAACTGAGAAATTGGGTAGTGAGATTAACATTTAAAACATAATAATAATAATAATAATAGTAATAATAATAATAATAATAATAATAATAATAATAATAATAAAAAAATACAATAATATAAAAATACATTTGTGTTGACATACACAAATATATCCCTCCCTACTCAATCAACTAACCCCTTTTTTTCAAATTTGACTCACACAGGCCAAAATAAAACAAACAATTTCATACAAGTAAAAATTCAAAAATGCATACTATACTGTCAATTTATTGACAAATAGCAATGCCTGCTGTGATAATGACTTTGATATTTAATTGGATTATTGAGATTAGACTCTGGCAAAACCTGCCAAAATGCCCTTTTAAAGGGTTTGCTGGTAAATGGGATAGTAACAGCATGATTTTCCTTTCATTGTAAAGCGCTTAGAGGTTTCTTGCATTTTGCGCTATATAAGAATAAATTTATTATTATTATTATAATACATGTTGGAATTTTTAGAGATATAATGAACTAATTTGAATTTTATCAAAAATTTATATGAAATTTTGAGCTAATTATTTACGGTATTTTCATTTTCTCTGTAGAAGAATTATCATTATAGTCTTTTGATTTTGGGAGAAAACAAATTGTACCAATTGGAATTCAAAACCCAGGGTACCAACAACCAAGTGTTACTCTACCAAATGAGCTATTAGACTTGCCACAAGTCTCTAATTTATTGATTTTTCGTAATATTTAGCACATTTCGGAAAGCGCCAACAGCGTCAGTTTATGTCGAGAAACTTTTTGATGCGAATTAGAAAAAGAAAATCCCAGAAAAGTATACTATGGAACGCCATGCAAATAAGCAATATGGAACGCCAATGGTGCCAAAATCGATTTATTTTTAAGCATTTTCACTGATTATGACAAAGTTTAGGGACTCGAACCCAGTCTACTGAGCTACGAGACAAAGCTGCTACACTCTCTTATATTATCTCTGTAGGATACCTACATAAACAAAAGGAAAACAATCCAAACTATATACTAGCTTTGCCTCATATGGATTGAGCAGCCAAATGGTTAGGTATAGAAGCACAGTCAATTGAAAAGTTATTAGTTTTAGCAATTCAGAGTAATCTGTTGTGAGATAATGAAATTATGCTTATTAATGTATAATCTGGATAAAACTAAACATTATAGGTAATCAAGTTAAGTCATATGATCTGGTGTACTATATGGTGTCATGATGCATTTTATTCACAGTTTATAAAGAAAATAAATGGTGTCTTTTATAAAGAAAATAATGTAATAATGTTGGGAACTGAAATCTGAAATGCGATCGTCTGTGATTCTACATCATCAAACAGTAGAAGCAAGATTTATCATGAAGCTGTTTCCAGAATGTTCCTTACAATCATGTTGGCCCAAAACATGCCATGGTATTATGTACATGGATTACCTTCAATCATTTGTGCTGATCTATAAAAATACTCAATTTTGAACAATTAAAATATTTTTAAAATAAAAAGTTTAATAATGTACATATAAAGCATTTCAGCATAGAATATTTTGAGTCAATTAATTTCTGATAGTTATCCCCAGTTCATTAAACTTTCTTTAGCCACTTAATGAAGTTAGTAGACAAAGATGTGAGTTGTAACCTATCGGATCCCTGGTTGATTAGCTTTAATCAAAATTAAATCACAAAATAAATAGACAATTTGGTAACATGGTCAACTGTTGTTCATATTTGGCCAAACTGGTCATTACCATCTGCTATATTCAACTTATTTACTCAAACGCATTAATGTAGTGTAATTGCTTATCACCACCTGACCAATCATTTTCACTGTTACTCCAACCTATTACTCTAACCATCTGTGTTATGTCAATTCTGATTGGTTAAGAAATTCTATTGCTATGCATTTTTACCATACCATGAATAGTTGTGAAGTGTAGAAAGGAGCAACTTCCAGTCAGTACTACTTAGCTGAACAGAATATACCTTAAACCACCTACTTGTTACTGGTTCCTGCAGCCTCCTGGGCAATAGTAACTCAGCTCCACTTACTACCGAAAAATGTCTGGCGGTAAGTTTACTTTTTTTAATTTTTAACTTTCTCCTTTTCAAAACACTTTCATAATTTGATATCTTGTATAGTATTTTTTTGCAACCTGGTTCCTACCTAGAGTACACTGTCTCACTTTTTATTAAATTCAAAATGTATTTGGTTCCTCAAAATAATTATATTGATAAACTAAAATTTAAAAACTTTTATAACAAATGGATTATTAATACTAAAAAAGAAATCAGAGCTGTTTATCTGTTCAACTTCTCAAACCTAAATAGAAAGAAATACGTATTAATTATGAAATCAATCATAAGTTAAAACAAAAATTAACAGAAATGATCTCTATATTCTGTTCATATAACAGGCTTATACAAAATACCTATTAATCTCTAATTTTTATAAGTTGCATCCAAGAAAGTACTAAAAATAGTACATCTTGATTATGAAGTTATTTAGGCCTAACTAGAAGATACTAATATATTCTTTGATAGCAATATATTTTCATATATTCTAATCTATATTTTAAACTCTCTTTAATTTTTCTGTATATTCTACCTTTATTAGTTACTGTTAGGTGCTGCCTCAATTTTAGCATTAACACAGATTATTTAATTATGGACATAAAAAGTAACACAAACATGTTGTTTACACAAAAGAATGTTGTGAAAAGTTTAGAGAACATCTAAATTTAAAGGACATGTCTTTTTTGCCATACATTAGCCCTTTAAATTTAATGAATGCAGTATACCCCATAATAAACAACAAAATATATATATATTAATAATAATATAATTAACATAATATTAATCCAATACCAAAAAACAATAACAATAATAATAAAAATTATAACAAAATATATAATAATAATATAATAATAATAATAAAAAACAATAATAATAAAAAATAATAACTATAGTATTTGAATAAAAACAATAATAATAAACAATAATATTACAACGACTGGTCCCCTCCATCCTTAGGAGCCCTAATATAACATACAGCCTTGACATTACGGTCCAGTAGAAGACAAACAAAACTAGAAAATGTTTTAAATGTAGGCCTAATTCATGGTTTTAACTCACAAATGTCCACCCTATATGTGGACTCACATGACAACACTTCTTGAATACTTGGACTATATTAATTCCTGACCAAAAAGTGTTCAACATCTGGGCTCCTACTATTATAGGCCTACTATACCAGTTTTTATGCATGTAAATTTTGTTGCAATTCAGTTTGTACTGCCAGGTCAAAATCAGACAGGCAGTGTTTTTCTTTGTGGACTATTAAAGTAATAACATAAGGTCGTCGTGTGAATATTAAATATGTTTAATATTCTACAAAGCAACTGTCCCTGGCCAATTTTTATGATGATTCATTGTGTCTCATACAGACACAACATGGCAATAAATCAATGTTACAATGTTGTCTGAGTTGATGCCTCATCTGTTTTTGTTGATCATTATTTTATAGTATTGCTCCCCTATTATGGGTAAATAAGCCCCTTGCGTAGTCCAGACGACCTAGTTCCATTTACATAGGGAGGGCTTAGGAGGGTTCAGGGGAAAGCTTCCTGGAGCGGAGGTGTTTTACTATGAAAATTTTGATCATCATCATCATTTTGATGGTATGATGTTAAGGGGTGGGTGGTTTGGTTTAACAGAGGGGGTGGGGGTTTCACTTATAAAGGGGTCCAACAGGATTGCAGAAACCTCCCCATGGGCCTGATTCTATATACTCATCATCTTGATTAATTTTCAGACTTTTTTATATTGAATTAAGAATGGAGAAAGTCAAAAGCCAGGTTAGGGGAATGTGGGATAGGGGGAGTGTGGGGAATATTTGCAGGTGAATTGTGTAATGTCCTGATTGATTTGTCACCACCTACTAAGCCCAACTCTCTGGATATTGTTGTTAAGGTTCCACAGAACAAAAGTGTAAACTTAAGTAAACCTGTGCGTTTGTGGGACAATACTTGTTTGCAGGACATGCGCATATTCCTGACTCTATTCTGATTGGTCAGTTGTTAAATTTGATTGACACTCCAGAAAGGTCCATTGGATTTATGTACAGTATTTACATATTTCTTTGTGTATTTGGAACCATTGTCTTATTATTCAACTCTTTATTATAGACACATAATTTCATCATAACCAACACTATTACTTTTGCTTAGGATTTCAATATTATAATGTTAATCATTGAAAAACAAATATTTGTTTACTTTTTTTAAGGTCCCATCTTTGAAAAACTTCTTGAAGAAGAGATGCAAGTATGTGCAGGTAGCGGTGCCATCTTTGAGGTCAAGGTATCTGGGCAAACCCCTTTAACCGTGAAATGGTGTGTCGATGATGAAGAAGTCACAGATTCTGACAAAAGATACATTTTGGAAGAGGAAGATGATGGCACTTACAAGTTTCAAATCAGGGAGGTGAAAGTTGTGGATGATGAGAATGAGTTCACAATCAAATGTGAAGCATCCAACAGTATTGATACAATTATTACAGAATGCTGCTTAGTTGTGGAAGAACTACCAGAGGGGCTGAAAGGATGCATGTAAAGATTCGAACCCAGTCAGTTAGCGCATTTCATACTTAGGACACTGACAAAATCATGGATCAGCTGAACCCAGCTTTGACCACCACTAGAGATTCATCTCAATGTGAATAATTTTCAATAGATGTTGCAAAAGTTGTGTTCTTGCATTTGAATACAGGTGATTGCTTTCAATTTTTGATAACTACAAAACTGTTGAAAATCAATAGTTAATTAACATGATATATCAATTGGTTACTGATTTACATGATAAATGATGAAATCGCAATCTATGACCGAAGTGTTTAAAATGTATCTATATATGAAGAGCAGTCAATGCAACACAATCGCAAAATTTATGTATCCAGAATGATGCAAAGCTGATCCAAACAGAAAAATTGATATACAAATGAAACACTCAGTTTATGACAAAAGTATGAATGAAATTAAAACATTTTCTAATGATTTCTGGATCTCTACACATTTTGAAATGATACCTTGCTGTAGATTTCGATGGTTTAAATTTGTTTCATGCTATCTGCCTGACAATATGTATGTTTGTTTTAGATGAAAGACAAAGATGGTTTCACAATAAAGAAATGATTATGCTAGTGACAGTTTTAATGATAATAAGTAGTAATCACATTTTGTATTTTATAATATTTCTTATTTGTAAAAAGATAATTCATCATCCAAATATCTCACGGAAATTTAGTCTTTCCAACTTTCACAATCATCAATTTCCAATTTAATCTAGATTCTTTTAAGGATGGATTTTTTTCACAACAGATTAAACTTCATCTTGTATATCCAATTGCAATTAAATATTATTTCTTAATCAAATTTCTTGAGGTTTCGATTTTTTCAGTATCCTGCCTGTGTTTACAAATTTATGTGTATATGTATATATTATATGGATGTACTGTATGTGTGTATATGATATATCAATTGGTTACTGGTTATACATGCATAAAATCTCAGCTTAAAGAACTGCAGATTGATATTAAAAATGAGGTAGCTTTTAAGAAGGCCTAGTGGAAGTCTGCGAAGGAAGGGATGTCATCAGAACCTCAAACAGAATATAAAAAGCTGGAAATGCATTTGGATATATATATCCAAATGATATTTGGATATATATGCGGGCATGTACTCCTATATATATGCGGGCATGTACTCCTAAAGGTGCATTTAATGTCTCACAAAAGTTCAACTGCTTTTAACATCCTTCCTGCAAGACCAAGTGAAACAACCTGTGTGTTATGCAGGAAACTTGCAAGATGAACAATTTACTGAACACTTTGCCAATGCAGCTATTTTCCCTCTGTGTATATTTGCCAAATACAAACAGCCTACAAACATTCTCTTTTGTAACTACTGTACACCAAAGCAGTGCTGTAAGTGAATGGAATCCAGTAAAAATAACCAGGCTGTTTTTCTCATAAGCAGAAAATTTCAATTCAAACAGCACAACTCAAACTTTTCACAGCAATAGTAATTTGCATAATCCCAAATTTCATTGCACATTTCGTGTGCTAAATAATTTGAATTTGGATACTGTATGTCTGAATTTGAATGCAAACATTACTTGCACGTAGCTAATAGTGGGTAAATGCATTACTGTAGGCTTTCCACATTTTGCGGAATAATTTACTGTCATTGAATTCAGTCGACATATAATCTATAGGCCTACATGCCATATTTAAAAACCAGTGAACAAAAATGCATCGCAGAACCAATATAAAACTTTTCTTAATTCAAGCTCACCAACTGCAAATTTAAATTATGTTCTCTATAAAAACTAGTCTCTTTATGAGGCTTAAGAGTGGAGTTATTTTACTTGTCACATTATAATTTTAATATTGTAACACTGATAGTACAATATGACTAATATTACTATTAATATATTACTACTAATATTATTTATATTATTACTACTTAGTAATTATTAACATAACTAATATAAATAATACTATCTTCTATTACTAACTCCACTGCTAAGATGACATGACAGCGGCAACAATGATGACGATGATAAAGCTCAACTGAATGGAACATAACTTGCATAAAATACTATAACAAATAATATCATAACTAGCTCTGATGACTACAAGCTAATGCTGTTGAAAACATTACATTTAAAGACTGAATTGTATTTACACTATACTTTACATCGACTGTATAAGACATCAAAGTATGTTATTTATTATATATTTGGCACACAAACTTTATAAAATTATTTTATTTTATTAAACTATATTATAATAGGGTAGCCCATCCAACAAAGCTGATCATTGGAGCCCTCAAAATTAAAATACAATAACACAGCACAAAGAAAATATATCATATATAAATATAAAATTTGCGACAGATTGAACAAAAAAAAGAAGCATAATACACATATTTTAATAAATTATTGAAAATATTCACATCTTTGGATGACATTAATTGAAAGAACTGAAATATTAAAGTATGTCTGTTAACAAAATGTGGTAGAAATGTTTTTCTAAATTCATTAAAAAATGATATTCGTTTTATATTTTATCTAAGTCACAGAATGTAACTTGCATAACCTGTCCTTTCATTTTATATATTTACCCACCTACCCCATTCTACCTCTAATTCCAGAATACCCAATCCAAATTTTTACAAAAATTTGTTTCTATTTAAAATCAATATTTTGTACCAAGTATTCATCTATTCCAAATGCTTGAACATTTTTAATGTCTTAATTTGGAATATGAATTTATCTTTTCAAATAATTTCTGTTGTTCTATATCTGTCAATCCAAGTTTAATTTTAGAAATAAACATATTTATATAATTAATAATTTGGGATGACCATATTTCACCGAAACCAATAGAACATATAATTAATTGTTTAACATTATATAAACCCAACAAGGTTCATCATTGTGTTTTTCGCATCCGAAAATCATACCATTTTCTGATAGTTCTATCTTCACTCATATTATTCAAACGTACCCAATATTGTATAACATTAACAAGACAATCAACTGATATTGAAAACCTTACACATTCACCATAACCACCTCGTTGGGTGCTGATTTTCCAATACCTAAAATATACCTACAACAACTTGATCTGGAAGTCATATATGAAAAAAAGATAATAATAATAATAATAATAATAATATAACTAAATTAATTATATTAAAGTAAATAAATACATTTAATCATTGTTAAAATCTTTGGGACTCTCATTAGTGTAAGGCGCTTTATAAATCTAAATTATTATTATTATTGTTTTTATTATTATTATTATTATTATTATTATTATTATTATCAATATTTAATCCCCATATTTCACTGCCATATAAAATAGAAAATTGTCAACTGATATTGAAAACCTTCCACATTCACCATAACCACCTCGTTGGGTGCTGATTTTCCAATACCTAAAATATACCTACAACAGTTTGATCTGGAAGTCATATATGAAAAAAAGATAATAATAATAATAATAATAATAATAATATAACTAAATTAATTATATTAAAGTAAATAAATACATATAATCATTGTTAACCTCTTTGGGGCTCTCATTAGTGTAAGGCGCTACATAAATCTAAATTATTATTATTATTATTTTTATTATTATTAATATTATCAATTATTTAATCCCCATATTTCACTGCCATATAAAATAATAGAAAATTGTTACATCAAAAAGATTCTAAACACTAACTGTTAATTGAACAAATCTTGTAAGGCATATCCTGTGTCACTAATCAACATGTGATTATCTGCATATAACCGTGATATAACAAATAGTTAACATATAGATCCCCAATTTTATTTCTATTTTAAGCAGTGTGTAATAATTCAGTTAAGTCATTCAGGAAATCTTGCTGAATACTACATGCACAATTGAAAGGTTCACCTTCTGTACAAAACATCATACACCTGTTTGAATACCACTGTATAACGTAAGAAGATGAGAGTGTAAGCAGATAATGCCAGGCGCGCACTGGAACGCTTTTATTATGATGACGATGTGGCATAGTATCATCAAAGTTACGTCAGAACAAATTTTATTTTATTTCGGCCTGATAATTTTAGAATTTAAATGTTTGACTGCATAAGTTTGATTTGCATAAGCAAATCTTCAGTAATAAACAATGTCCCACACTGTGTATTTCAGCTCTCAGTCTGTTATTTGATTTAGTCAACACAATTTTGCCAGAGGGCGTTCCTGGAACAGAATCATGGGCCAAGGGAGCCACACACAAGTGGTGGGTATTTTCTAAGCCCTATCAAAAATAAATACAGCATACAGACTAAAATAATATACATTGTAAGTTCAGGATGGCCTTTATAAGATTGTTAAATAATGTAACACAGATTTTTAAAATTACAATAAAAGCCTATTTACAAGATTACCTTCTGCAAATGTTAAGATATGATTAAACTATGTAGTGAGACCGTAACATAAAACAAAAAAAAATGTAAGAGACAAAAGCTGACTGATACAATAGATAAAAACATAACAGTTATTTAAAAAATAAGTGAATAAAATTCAAATTTGAAATAATAGACTGAATTGTGTAAACATTGACAAAGAGCTTTGCTAATGCATTGAGCAGGGTCGAAAGTGGTGTATATTAATAAATCGTCTAAAATGAAGTTAGCATAGAAGATACTTTTTATAACAACGTATACATATTGAATGATTCATAGATTCATGACTAAAGGTTGATTTTATTTAAATTTACATTCAGACTAAAAATATGAAGAGTTTTGAAGGGCCGTATAGGGGGCCTAGGCCAATTACTTGCAGGACTCACCACATCCAGTGCCGCGACTAAGGCGATCGCTTTTGATTTAGAGGTACACATTCAGCTTAAATACTGTCACCATGTCATTTTGTAGCAATTTCTATATGAAATATTTAAACTATTGCACAAACTTAAATGGCTGGATTGTAGAATAAGATGTTTCTTTTTTTACTATGGCCAACGAGTCAGCAGAACGTTGTTTGTATAACTCTCTAGTCTAGGACTAGGCCCGTGTTTACACGACGAGGCTATACAAACATGTTCAAGATTTCATCTGTTTATTTCACTCTATTTCAAATCTAACAGGTCAGAAGTGTGATGTTTATTAAAGATATTTACCAAGGCTTTTTGATAAGTTATTTTATGATAACATATACAAATAAATAAGTTTGAGGAGTGGATTTGCATGTATGCTCCAAGTGAAATAAAATGTAAAAACAATGAAAAACAATGTACAATCATTGAAGGCTGACTTGCACAACACAAATTTATTAAAATATAACAAAATCAAATATTTTGATGCCTCCTGCTATCTTTATTAATGTTAAAGTGAGAAAACATGGGAGATCTTACACATACATAAAGAATAAGAAATGGTATTAACCACTCAGAACCAAGTTAAATATACAATCAGTTGATTGGATCACAAAATAAAGGTTTGATGAAAAGTTAATAGTGGTTTAATTACAAGTAAACAATGATAACATATCAGCAAAATAGCAATGATTACTGTATGTAAGCAATAGTTTATTAGCGGTGCTATTGAGCCAGTTTAATGCTATTAAACTGGCTCAACACAGATAGAAATCAAGGAATATAATAATATGTACATATTGTAGAGATAATATATAGTATTGTTCAATTAATATTCATAGTGAATTATTGTGTTATTATACATGTAGAACCTAAGTCGTTATCCCAAGTCCCTTAATATTTTTAAATGGATAATCCATTTAAATTCTGTGTTATGTCGTTCTTGTGTGGATTTAAAATTGCAACCTATTATTACTGTATATTGTAGCTGTAAAGTCATTGATAGTGTGG